TAACAAACCTCGTCCCCGTATCATTTTCAAGTACCTCAAGATTCTATCAAAATTCTATCAATGACTTCAAAATGTTAGTGAATGCATGAACTGGTTGACCATACTTACTGCAAAGGCTAGATCTGATCGTGTGTGGGTCAGGTAAATTAATTTGCCCTTGAGTCTTTGGTATTGCTCTTGATTCACCACTTCAAGTTGGCTTCAATTGGTGTTTCAGTTGCTTTACATCTCAATAATTTTGTTGCATCAAGTAAATAAAGTACATATTTGCATTGAGTGAAAAATATATCTTTATTATATTTGCCAACTTCCATTCCAAGAAAATGTTTTAAAGCACCTAAATTTTTAATCTCAAAATCATCAGCAAGTTTCTTGTTAAGTCTTTCTAGCTTGATATTGTCATCACTTACTAGAATTATATCATTAAGATAAGAATTTTACCTTTTCTTGAATGTTTATAGAACATAAAATGATTTGCTTGATTTTGAAGTAAGCTCGTGATCGATGGCCGGATTCAATGTCGGTACCATGATGTCTTGTAGCCTTCTCAATGTGTTCAAACCATGAGGCCATATAAATACTTTTTAGTCTACATGCTTTTCGTTTGTTAATCCCCCCTTCAAACTCATATGGTATGCTAATAAAGATATTTTCTTTAAGTCTCCATTTAGAAAAGCAAGTGTAGTGTATATTTCTGTGAAGCCTTTTGACACAAGCCTTGTCTTGTACCTTTCTATGTTTTCATTAGCTTTGCATTTAATAGTAAGTACTCATTTTCACTCTGCTTTCTTCTTTTCCCTTGGTAAATCAACTACATTCCAAGTGTCAGTTATGCTATTTCATAACTGCTAACTTTTAATTTGCATCACCTAAAGCTTCTTGAGTATTTTTTAGAATAAATAATTAAAATATATTAAAAGTAAAAGCTCTATGATTATTTGAAAGCTTTTAGTAAAATAAATATTTAGTAATGAGATGGCTGGTATAAGATCTATATACTTATTATTAAAATAAAAATATGAATATCTAAAATATTCTTGGCAGCATCTTTCAGAGAATTTAATTGATTCCATGGGATGATAAACATGTCTTTACCTTTTATACAAGTTTTTTATCTAGTATAAACCTAAAACTCGAAATTTGGATCAATTTGATCTTTTTATAGTATTTCTCCTTGTGTTTGCAATACTCTTGTACTAACAATGATTTATTAGTATTTTTATTTGTTTTAATATCATGAACATTTTTTTCTTGAAATTGTGATGTAAAGAAAAACAATAGTCCGTAATTGTATTAGGAAATGAAATATACATATTTCAAAAATCATAATCTATCAAATGTTTCACTCCCTAAGATAATTCTTGGTAAAGTAAAGTTGATTTTCTATATAAAAAAAATCCAATAAAAACATATTTTTATTTGTTACTACTTTCCCAAATAGGTGGCTTTACATGAAGTTTCCAACAGGTTTCGTATATTATTGGTAAAAAAAAAAATTAAATCCAGTAAAATGTTTAAATTAACCTCATATATAATAAATAAAAAATCACAGCATCATCAACCAAAAGCTTCTGACATTTCTCCATCTTTCAAAACCCTTAACCAAACCTAAAATTATTATTTCAAAATGATTTCTCTCGTTTTTAACATCAAAAGGGAATGATTAAATCTGGGTTTATCTTAAGATTTTTATTTATGTGATAAAAATGATAACATGATTGGTTTATGATAAAAAGTTCTGAGCTTTACAGAGAAATATGAAGAAACTAAGGGACCTTTTTGTGTTTCGGATACAAAGAGAGGGACAGAAACAATAGAATTTCAAGTTTAAACAAGACTGCGATTTCTTTTTTTGTGGTCTTCGTGGTGCAATTTACACATTATTGCCTCTATACCTAATTCAAATTTACAACCATTTCTTATTCAAAATTCAGCAACCTATAATTGTGATCTAAGTAAATACTATTGAAAGAGTTCTTTGAAACTGCTAACAAGGAAGACAACTATTCTTTTCCTGCTTTACTCTCTACTTGAATCCCTAACTAGCGTGGAACAAAGGTTTAGTTCAATTTAGTACTTTCAGTGGCATGAAGGTTCGGTTCTTGCATGCCATAAACATGAAGCAAGCAACATGGTCAATTGAGGGAAGAGAATTCTGTTTGTGCCCCCTCTATCACGAAAGAATTGAGCGCAGGATGGCAGCAACAACATATCTTACTCATTCAAAGTATCACCTTTCTAACTTTGAAACTTTGAAAGGTTTACTCAACTAATAAGGTTATAAATTTATTTTTTACAAGTTATTAGTTTGAATCACACATACTTTAAAATCATTAAAAAATTAAATAATTATTAATTAAAGCTGCACGAATATCTACAGGATTGCACTGTCCAAATCTTTAGAGCTGTGCCAAGAAGTGTTACAGGATAGGCATGAAGCAAGCAACATGGTCAATTGAGGGAAGAGAATTCTGTTTGTGCCCCCTCTATCACGAAAGAATTGAGCGCAGGATGGCAGCAACAACATATCTTACTCATTCAAAGTATCACCTTTCTAACTTTGAAACTTTGAAAGGTTTACTCAACTAATAAGGTTATAAATTTATTTTTTACAAGTTATTAGTTTGAATCACACATACTTTAAAATCATTAAAAAATTAAATAATTATTAATTAAAGCTGCACGAATATCTACAGGATTGCACTGTCCAAATCTTTAGAGCTGTGCCAAGAAGTGTTACAGGATAGGCTTCAACAACCTCCATATACCTGTCAGCTTCCAAAAGATACCTCCCATCACATCCTTCTAGCTGGGCATCAACATCTGCTTCTGCAGCAACAAGAACATGGTATCTTCCATCCACTAAACTCCAGTTGCAGAGGAAACCCTCAAGAAACTCTCGGACACCTGAAGATGAACCTCCTGATATCTGAAAACATGCCCCGACAAATAAAAACAAATTCAGAGTGATGTCCATCCACCGCAAAATATAGAAATGCCTTTGACCGAGTCATGTTCAAAGCTTATATGGTATTGACGGTCTAAACCAACATTGCAGATAAATGAGCTAGTGGAAGATATTGAGGGTTCAATACAAACTAGTTTCTTTCTGATAATCATTCTAATTAACCTATCAGAATGTTACACAAAGTTCACTAGTTACCTTCTCCACGGCAAAGCCACGCCATCGTTACCGAAATACAGATATCTTCAGTGCAAGAATATAAAATTTGTACTTTTTAGTTTTTTTTTATGGTTTTGATATATCTATGTCAAAAATAATTTAAAAAAATAAAAAAATATATTATTTTAATGTATTTATAAATAAAAATAGATAAATTAAATAATTAGCACAATAAATTTAAAAATTTAACATACTATTCCGCCAAATCTTTTTGAATTTATATCAATTCACCAAATCCTTTTAATTTACTATGTTACCAAAAAAATCTAATAAAAAATACTTTGAAAAACAATTATTAACACTCTTATATTATACCTGGTTAAAAAAGTTTTTTGGGGGATAGAATTGAAAAATGACAAATATGCCTCCACTATTTCATCTAGGTAGTATTTTTTTGCAGTCCAATTGTACTTTTAAAAAATCTTGAATTTTTTTACTTTAATTTAATTTTTTGTTGTATTTTTGAATTATTTTAATATTCTGATATTAAAAAATAAAATAAATATTATTTTAATATATTTCTAAGTAAAAAAACAAATTTTTACAATCAATATTTTCTAGTATTAAAGAATCATCTCAACCCCATAACTTAAGTTGTTAGGTAAGGTTTCAAGATATGATATATATTGTTCTTTAACACATTCCTTCAAGTGAAAACTCTTTGAGCTTAAAACTTATACAGATTCACATTATACCTTATACTTAATTTTTATGAAATAAATAGAGATGGTGAGATTCGAACTCGTGACCGCTTGGTCATCAAAGTTCTGATACCATGTCAAAGAACTACTCAACCAAATAGCTTAAGCTGTTAGGTAAAGTCTCAAGACATGATTTATATTATTCTCTAACACTAATTATAACAAAAGCTAAATGATATGGGAAAATCATTGTAGATCAAGAGATATTTTACTGTAAATTGTAATACTAATTTTACTTTCAGTTTCTCATCTTATCTTTTAACGAAATGTTATTTTTGTTGTTTGTGTTTTTTCTTTTCTTTTTTCTAACAACTAAAATGCATAATTGTTCCCTGTTTGTTTGGGTCAAGTAAGGGATACACGCCAGACCCAAGGTCTTTGGGGCTGACCGGCATGCAGGTCTACAGACCCAAGTGTGTGAGTATTATAAATAATTTTATTTTTATTTTTATTAATATAATTATTAATAAATTTAAAAAAAATATTATTACTATTGAAAAACAACCATATATTTGATTTGAAAGGTAAAAATATTATTATTAATATTATTATTATTATTAAATTTAAAAAACAAATATTATTACTATTGAAGATAAACTATAAATTTGATTTGAAAGGATTAAAAACCATAAAAATTTGAGTCAGACAAGTTTATTATTATTATTATTATTATTATTATTATTATTATTATTCTTAATATAATTATTAACAAATTTAAAAAAATATTATTATCATCGAAGAGAAATCATAGATTTGATTTGAATGGTAAAATTAAAAATTATTATTATTATAAAAAAACTATAAATTTAATTTAAAGAAATTAAAAATTATAAATAGGATAAACAAATTTAATATTATTATTTTTATTATTATTAGAACAGTCGAACCCAAGCCCAAGTAAGTTGAATTAATTGAATTGGGTTTATCATAACTAATATACTCGAAAAATTTTAAATATTTTTTATATTTTTTTAAAAAAATTATATTCAATTACTGCAGTGTGAAGAATATACTGGTAACGATAGATAGCGGGTAAGACCCATATTTGCCACAAACATCTGGCTTTGTGTGTTTGAAATTTGGCAAACTTGGAGTGTCATTTTGGTAATCTCACAGCAACCGAACCCAATAAAACATAGTGTAGCCATCATAAAAAAAACACTCCAATTCCCCGAGCTCTCTTTCTCTAGAAATCAATCAAATAATTCCATTAATTTTCCAGCTTCTTCTTTTTTGTCCGTCGTTGCAGTGTTGAAAGAAATGAAGCTTTATAAAGGAAGTATGCGAAAAATGGGTTCTTCATCAGTTGAAGATATTCCAGCAATGCAGGTACCTTTCAAATTGTAGGTTTTGCTTAAAATCTCCGTTTCTTATTAATTAGAGCCTGTGATTGCTTTTTTGGATATACAAGTATGCTTTTCTTGATGGGGTTATGTTATGGTGTTGTGGTTGTTTGTTGGTAGTAAATTGTGTTGGAGTTTCATACTGGTAAAATGGTTTTCTATGGAAAAAAGGTTGTTCCTGATTCTCGAAGAGGACTTGTTCGCATTGGAAAGGTAGACTGGTTTCTTTTGGTTTTTTTGCGTTATTTAGAGTTCGAGCCCGTGTAAAGATTTTTTGTTACTTCTGCTGTTTTGGTTTATCTTAAGTACTAGATAATGTGTTTCTAGCATCTTGTTTCCTGTTTGAAGTCGAAATTTTTGAATTGTTCCAGGGTGATGAAGGTTTGCTTCATTTCCAGTGGCTTGATAGGAATTTGAATGCTGTGGGATGTATCCTATTTATTATTATGTTTTTTAGCCTAGGATTTTGTTTCTCTTCCAACATTGGTTTTTATTTCTTTTCTTGTTGTTTGTTTTGTTAATATTCTTTTTGGTGAGAACTTGGTAGCTTTTTCTTGATGTCCTGATTGATAGGATCGGATTATTTTTTCTAAAGAGGTTATTTTTGAGAAGGTACACTTTTCTTTAGTAGTTTTTCTTAGATGAGAGATCTTTGACTCTAATAATTGATTGTAATATCATAGATTTCATAATTCTTTGGGTTATTCAGGTTAATCGAGCTTTGGGAAGGGTTTACATCTTGAAATTCAATACAAATGATCAAGAGTCTTTCATTTGGATGCAGGCCAAGTTCATTTTCTGTGTTTTTCACTCTCTTATGTGTAATATTGACTCAGCTGTTAGTTGCATGATTTTGAAAAATTGTGTAGCATGTTTGCAGGAGCCAAAATCTTAAGATGATCCACAATTGTGTAACTCTGTCAACTATTATATTAATTGTCCATTTGGTAAATACTTTTGTGTTTTGAGTCCTTTGTTAGCCATGCTACTCGTTATTATTTTGTTCCTAATTATCTTAACTTATATTTAAATGCAAAGTCTAATCTTCTGCCCCCCCTCCCTCGATCTCTTAAATGCAAACAATTTGGTGTAGTTGATAAATCACTTTTGCTAATTTCACATCAGAAAGTTGTATAATTGCTTTATGGTCATCTCTCTCACAGAGGGGTTTTTTTATCTATCTTGCATCTGCAGTTATCTCCTTCAATCTCCACAATTTCATAAAGAAAACCTCTATTCACAGAAAGATCATATAAGACTAATTGGATTTCCTGTTTCTACTTCCTGTTTATTTATTTTAGTTACACACTCGGTATGTGTGAATTGGTCTTCTTAAAATTTTACTAACCAATTTTACACCTTCAAACTAATGACCTGGCTTATAACTTCAGCACTCATTCAAGAGTGGAGTTTTTCCATCAGCAACGTTGCTGTTTTATCTTGTTGTCTGGCAGAATTCCTTGATGAAAGAAGAGTATGATGCTTCTACTCCTTTCCAGGTTTTTGAAGACATGCTTAAAGATAATATCTCATCAAGGTATATTTATTATAACAAAGAAGCATACTCAAAGATGATACTTCAACTCTAAGAGTTGATATAGCAAGTAAGAGTAAGGATATAGAGCTAAGTAATTCTTTGTTCTTTGAGACTTAGAGTTAGTGGAGCAGAATGAGCCTCCCTTCTCTCCTTTTGATCAATAATCTTGGAGAGCCTATGTTCCTGCCTTGATCAAGACTCCTATCTTAGTTATTCAAGAAATATCAAGAAATTTTCCAAAGTCATTTCTCGACAAAACATCATCACCCACCTTAGCCCTTGTCAAATCCTTCATCCCTTTATGCCCTGCTGTAAGAAATCACGGGACCACCGACAGTTAAAAGGATGAATCCACTCTTAGAAATTGTTAAATCCTATAAATAATTGTTTTGATATATTATAGAAATTTTTTGAAATGCAAGAATCAATTAACTCTCTATGGTGAAACAGAATAACTCTCATTTCCCCCTCGAATAAATTCTTCTTTTTGGTTTTGAAAGGAATGCTCTTATGTTGGCTTGAGCAGTGCGTTAATCCTTTGAATCCGGTACCAACAGGTATCATACCACCTAGAACGAAGTTTTCTTTCAGGCATTTCATCCAATCGATACAACTGCGGAGAGCAGTTTTTGCTAAAACACGAGCAGTTTCTTGAAAACTCGCTTCAGATATGAAACTTTGAGTACATAGAGATGCTCTTGTTATTCCCAGCACAGACTTGCCCTCGGGGTAAATTCTAAAAATTAGGGCATCTTTTATATGGAAATTTAGAATCATAACTTGGTGTTTGTCTATGCATATACATATTTAATTCTTATGATTCTTTGTAAAATAACTTCTAAAAGGTTAAGGAACACTTTTATTACCTAAAAGAAATGGCCCAGTATATATTACATGGCCATTTTCTTTTATTCTGATGAGATTGATATTTGCTCATCACTCAGGATTGGAAACTTAGTTGTCCCAAACCTTGGTGCAGAAGTAATGAGTGATGTAACCTCTTCATCAGGACCAGTGAAATTGGAAGACTTGCAATAAATCCTGAGTAATATTGGTGCTGGAGGAATGTTCTGCTCAAATATTGCAATTGACCATATCCTTGTTTGTTGCACTTAGGTTGGCCCGCGTGATGTGATGATACATGTTGCAGGTAGTTCGGGTGATGCAGATGAAGGTAATTATTAATGCTTATTCTATACGTACTGTAGGCTGTGAAAGGATTGTACAACCTTTTTTCTGCTAATTATATGCTCTGGCTTGGGATTAGGGGATATACTGAAGCTTGATTTGATAATGCCATTGATTGAGACATCGTCGTTTGAAGAAGGATTAACATCTCACTTACCTGAGGTATAAGAAGGTCTTATGTTTGGGATTTCTTGTATGTTTTATGTCGATGCATTCTGAGGTAATTATGAGGTTGCAGGGTCACTGCACTCCAGAGGATATTTTAGAATTGTTGCAGAGTCCTCCTTTCCGTCAGCAAATGGATTCTTTTACTTATGTAAAAAATGCGAGGCTGATTCTTCTTGTTCTGTTTCTTGTCCTTTTGATGATAACTAATTTTACAAAGCTTAACTCTTCTTTTTGTTTGAAGGTTCTCCGAACTGGACATAGATTTGTCTCAATTTAGGATCGACCTGTAGCATAACAATGGTTTTTAAATACATGATTTTCTCTTTAGCAAATCATTTACTCATGTTCATCAGCATTAACTAAATTTTTTAAAGGAACCGTTTACTTATTGGGAAATTCTGATTAGGATTGATTATATAACTAATGATTATGGAAACCTGTTCGCCTGACCTAAACAGCCTCTTCCTCGGCAATCCTGGCTTTCTTGATCTGCACAATACTGGTTTGGGCACACACCTATATATATATATTGGAGTTTCAAGAAGCCACGCTCTATGTAGGCATGCAGAGAATTTCCCACGCCAAATCATAATCAAAACCGATCCCCTTTAAATTTAATCTGTTCACTTTAGATTTAATCTATTTTATTTGAACATACAGTCTGTCAAATCCAATCCAGAATACCAAGGCATCCTCTTATTAATTCACGTAGAAACTACTAGTCCTAAGCTTTATAAATCCAATCATAGAGCAATAAGTAAAGAAACTTCATTATTATGTCATATAGAAGCTAAAAACAAAAACAAAACACAAATGAAAATCAATATAACATTGCATTTAAACTTGTTTAAATCTTAAAACTAGAATACAAAACGATGCACCAAGGCTATGAAAACCCAAACTTGGATAAAATAGGAAGATTATCCATAATAAAATAATAGCAATTATTTATGCTCACCTCAATAAAGTAAAACCAAGTTCGTTGCCAATATGAATTTATGCACAGAATTACACTCATCATCAACAATACCATGATGTATGCAACCCCAAAAGTCACATAGAAAACCTTCATATCTATGAAGCCACCATTATCGTCGTTGTTCTTGTTCGTTGAAATTGGTGTTGGTGATGGTGGCATAACTGCACCACAAATTTTAGGTAGCGGTCCTCCGCAAAGAAAAGGATTGTCCTTATAACAGCTCTCATCAAAAGTGGCAAACTGTGCAACTCTCGCAGGAGTCTTGCCGGATAGATTATTATGTGCTACATTGAAAACTTCTAGAAAAAATAGCTCAGTAAGTCGAGGAGGGATTTGTCCATCCAGTTTGTTGTAGGAAAGATCCAAGCTTTCTATTTCCTTTAAGTTCGAAAATGTTGGTGGAATTGGTCCAGTTAAACTATTATGCGAAAGGTTCAATACCTTGATCATGTTAAGGTTTCCAATTTCAGGAGGAATCTCTCCAGTGAAATTGTTGCATGAGAAATCAATTCCTGTGATGTACTGGATAATGTTGCCTCTAAAAAAAAGGGATACATTCTTCATTGTAAACTCGAAAGATTGTTGTGATGAGGACACATTATCACGAGAATAGTGTTGTTGTGGGAAAGGATGAGTAGATATCATCCAAGAGAGGATGTTACCAGAAAGGTGGTTGTGAGAAAGATCAATCAGGGTTAATTGGTCCAACTTGGATAACTGAAATGGAATTTCACCTTCAAGATTGTTATAACTCAAGAGTAGAAATCTCAAGTTAGATAGCCTATCTATCCACTCTGGAATTTCACCAGTTAAATCATTATGGGAAAGATCTAATGCGAATATCTCATAGGAGTCATAAAATGCCATTGTGATCGGTCCTTGCAACTTATTTCTAGACAAATAAACATATCTCAATTTTGAAGAAGTTCTGAATCTAGATGGTAAAGGACCAGATAAATTGTTCCCTGATAGGTCCAAGAATTCAAGAGAAGACATATTCCCTATCCATCCAGGGATCTGCCCTTGCAAACTGTTGTTCGAAAGTATTCTTCCAGTAAAAACATTGTTGGACAAGTCTAACACTTGTAGCGAGCTAATGTTGCCCAACGAGGAAGGAATGCTTCCATTAAAACCATTATCTGACATCAATAAAACTTCTAACCTTGGGAAATAAGCTCCGATTTCTGAAGGGATTTGACCTTGAAAGTAATTCATGGATATACTTAGGAGTGACAAATTCACATGAGAATTCTTTGGCAACAAGAATGGACCCGAAAGAGAACAGTTCTCTAAATAAAGATCTTGTAGGTATGTGTTGTTCTCAATCAACCAATTTGGAAACTCTCTCTTTATTTGGATGTTTATAAGATCCACATATTGTAGGTTGAACTGATAGTAAAGGAACTTGGGAAATGCTCTCGCACCTTGTTCGCGACCTTTCAAAGAGAGGTACTCTAATTGGAACTTTAGGCTTAGATTATGATCATCTTCTTCTGCATATATTTCATTACTTGAACCATCAAAATACTTGAGTTTCGAAAGGTTGTATAATGGGCTCAATGACATAGGGATCTTCAAGTGATTGTAAGAGAGATCTAGTTGTTGAAGGGAAGTCAAATTTGCTAGACATGGAGGCAAGAAACCACTGAGATCATTGTCATACATTTTCAGCCCTTGGAGATGATTTAAGTCACATAGACCTGGTCACATTATAATTTAGAAAAAAATAAAACTCTGAGTGTTTAATGAAAAATAAATAACCTAGAGAAAAAGAGTAAGAGTCATTAACATTACCAATGGTTTGGAAGATGGTATTGTCAAAAGTATTGAAACTTAAATTCAAGAATTCTAAGTTCTTGAGATTAAGAAAGCCTGCCACAATCAAGAAATTATATTAACATAGAAGCAATTAAAATTATAAAAAAAAATGAAAGACTACAATCAATTAAACAAGAAATTATATTAACATAAAAGTAATTAAAATTAGAAATAATTCATTACTTATTAATCATGGCTAAAAAACTAAAAACATCATGTAAAATGAAATATTATTAATATTAAAAGGATGGTAGAATTTTAAAATAACAAAGATTTCAATTAAGTTAATTTCTAAATTTGAAATTTAATTTTTTTTTAATATTATGAATTTAATTTAATCGAGCAGGCATAAAAATAGAATGATTAATGATAAGTAATAGTGGAGTTGAAATTTGTTAATTTACCTTTAGAAGGTAAAATGCTACTGAGTGCTTGCAACGACAGGTGTTTTAGAGAAGGCAATGTTCCAAGACTTTGAATGAAATTTTTATCTAGAAAACAATGATCCAGATACAACTCTTCCAATGAACTCAAATTCTGCAACTCTGTTCAAAAGTAGCAAATTAAAATTTTCAATTAAACTCAAATATATAAACATCACTATATATAATATATAACTTACCTGGTATTCGTCCTCTAAAATCATTGTAGCTCAGATAAAGTGTTGTGAGGTTTGTGAATGCTCATAATGATTGCAGTAACTGGAAGCTACTTTCATATGTTGTGATATTTTCTAGCTTTAGAGCACTCAAGTTGCTTGGACCTGCAAGTTACAGGGAAGAAAGGTATAGAAAGGCTTTCCAAAAGCAAAAATAATTAATTTTGTATTGATAGTTTCAAATATTGTCTTCATACTGCCAAGAAGGTAACGTGAATGTGTTACTAGTTACCTCTTGAGGCTCCCAATTTGTTAATATTATTGCCGCTCAAATCCAAGTCCTCCAAGCTGCTCAAAGATTCTTGATATTTATAAAAATAATAGTTAATTAATACACTACAAAACATAATTGTGTTTTTCAAAATTAAATTTAATAAATAATTAAAAGTAATAGTATATAAAAAAAAACTAACCTTTCAAATTGATTAACCCCTTCAGTTTATTATAACCTAAATATAGTGATTTAAGAGATGAAAATCCCTCTACAAATGATAGAATATTGTTATCAAAGTGATTTAATCCCAAGTCAAGATGCTCCAAATTACTCAATCGCTGCTGTTCATAGCTACCTATATAAAAAAATAATAATTAAGACTTCATGTAAAGAATGAAAAAAATATATCATTGAAGTAGTTTAATTATGATTAAACTTCAAGTGAAGAGGTTGAGGCAGTGAAAGTGAAATGAAAGGGGTAATTGTTACAGTGATGATGTAATGCGAGAGCAAACCTTTCTGCTCAACGAAACCAGCTATACGATTATCTGACAAGGAGAGAGTGTTGAGTTGTTGAAAAGGAAGAAACAAGGAGGCATTCAAGTACCAATCTCCCAGTTCCTGATTCCTTACGCTCCCAAGATCGAGCATGGTGACTCGACCTCTGCTGCTGCTGCTGCTGCTGTTGCACTGAATAAGTTCCCAAGAACAACAGTGGGCATCGCCTTTTATCCAGGAGGGTAGGGATGTGCCATTGGGATAGTTAAGAGCATCTTTGAGGTGCAACAGAGCGATTCTCTCTTCCTCCATGCAACCAAGAGGCAGCCATCCTTGCAGGGAAACCATCATCACTAACACCATCAACATCTGAAGTCGAAGCCCCATCTTAAAATCAAATAGAAATGCTGATCAATATTTGTTATAGAGGACAGGGAGGAGGTTTATAGAGGCTTTTATGAGGACTTCACGGACCCATGCCGTGAAAAAAACTGCACGATGGCAACGGTCTCCCATCCCACGGACCCATCTCGTTCTTCGTTCTTTTCATAATACTTTTAATCTGAGCATCTTCTAGGAAAAAAATGCACGATGGAAATTTTCTCTCGGACCCAACCCATGGAAGACTGCACGATGGCACCATCCAACGGACCCATCTCGTGGAAAAAGAAGAAGCGGGATGGCTTTGGACGGCAGTGTCCTCTTCATCGCATTCCTTTTCGTTTTGATATAATTAAGTATTGCTAGCGTTGATTTTTTCTTTACTTTAGTCTAATATATTACCGTGGATGAACTGCTTAAAAAAATTATGTTTTTTTAATTTGTTTTTAACAATTTAATTCTAATTAAAGAATATTTGATTTTGATTTCTTATAAAAAAATAAAATTAAAAAAAAACCTGAAATGAAAAGTTGCTAAATATAGATGTTATGATACAAGTTTCATAAATAATGTGTTTTATTCCTTAAACTTTAAAAATCATGAAAATTATATAATTTTAGTATTTCAATATTTTTTTAATTTAATTTTAATAAAAAAATTATTTTAATTATTTTTTAATCCGTGGTTGAGAGAAAAAAAATCACTAAATTCTGATAATAAAAAAATATATATCATTGATACTAATTTAAATAACTAGAACACACAATATTTATATTAAATAACTCATATTATATATATATATATATATATTATGTGTTACTATTACTTGTATAAATGGATGAAGCATGAAAAATATAGAAGGGGATTGTTACAAATTAAACTCTGAAGATGAAATTGAGAAATCTCAAGGAGCAAACTAAAAATTTAACAAAATCTGACCACGTCGTTTCAGAAGCCAAGAAAGAAAAAAAAAAAAAAAAGGAATCACAGCTACATCACTTGTAGTATAACCCTTTCAATCAGAAAGCTTAGAAAGCAGGCAGACATTCTTGACTGATAAAAGCCCTAAAGGTTAGAATCGAGAGTGTTTGGGAGGGCGGAAAAAAACACTGCTTTCTACGTGCACAACACTTCTCCATTTATATCTTCTAGATTTATAAAGTAATTTTGTACTGGGCGATTTTGGCTGGGTAATTTAATCTATTTTTTTATTAAAATTTAAAAAAAAATTATTATTTTTTTAAATTCTAAATATATTTTAAAAAGTAACAGCTAATTAAAAACTAACTGCAAGGTGTTTTTGGAACACATTATATATATAAAAATTTATTTTATTTTATTTTTATTTGAAACATATTACCAACCAAGTCATATTTAGAAAAAGTCTATCTTAAAATATTTGAGAATGACAAAAAATAAATCAAACCAAAACCTTGAATAAAACACTAAAAGATAGACCAAATTTATCTCTACAATGAGCCTTTATAGTGGTGGGGCAAAACTTATAGAGAGATAATTATTTATTCATCAAAATAATTATTAATTCAGAGTAAAAGTCAAACTCAATTTTATTTGATCAAAATCACATCATCAAAGAAAATAAAAAAAAAGATATTTAATTAACATAATAAAACAAATTGGTATACTAGTATAAGAAAAATAAAAATTTACTAAGATGGATGGTACTCGATAACTTTAAGTATTCACATACCTTATTTTCCAGGTAAAAAGAGACAATAAAAACAAGTGATATTTTTTTCTCTGCTATAAATAGATAAAGATATCAATATAAAAAACATGGAAAAAAATTGTATTTTTTTTTCATTTAAATACTTATATTCATGAAATATAATCAATAGAATATCTTCTTTAGTTTTATTATCAGAATGATGATGCCATAATTAACTATTTTTTAGATGAGTCTGAATTGATTTTATTTTATTTTTAATTTATAAACAATAAATATATGTAAAATACTTATATTTTATATATTCTTTTATTCAAGTACTCTAATTAATTTTTTTTTATTTAAGTATTTGATAAACTAGTGTCTGTCTATAAAATTGTTTATATTGATGTCTCTAATAAATGCTTTCTAAAATTATTATTTCTAAATGATTTCTCTCATTTTTAACATCAAGAGGGAATGATTTAAATAAGAGAAAACAAGCAAATATGTGATTTTTTTTTTAATCTGGGTTTATCTTAAGATTTTTATTTATGTGATAAAAATGGTGACTTGATTGGTTTATGATAAAAAGTTGTGTGCTTTACAGAGAAATATAAAGAAACCAAGGGATCTTTTTGTGTCTCGGATGCAAAGAGAGACAGAAACAATAGAATTTATAGCTTAAACAAGACTCTGATTTCTGCTAGGTATTTAGGGGGGATTTTTGATTGAGTTTTGAGAGAAAAAGGTTGCCGTTTTGGGACTGATTTTTTTATGGGTTTTGGGGTTAGAAAGGGCTGCGATTTTGTGAGAGCTTGGATTGGGTTCTCAAATTATTTAGAGAGCTGATCTGTGGTGGTTGGTAACTAGTCAGAAATCATGACTAGGAGATAGGGAGAAATCTGCTCACCACTTGTTCGATTCAAGTCCACAGAGAAATCTTCCAGTAATTAGTAGCAGCAAAGAAATAAATGGCAATGGTGTTGCTTTTTCTTTGCAAGAGGGCGAGAGAAGTTGCGCAGAGAGACAGAGAGAGAGAGTGTGGCATTGGAATTTTTATTATAGGTCTCATAAATTTATTTATTTTTGCCCTAAATGTGAATTTTTTTATCGTGAAGATGGAGTATCCGATTTTAGCAGATATGTTAATTTTTAAATTATATTATATTTTAAATATATTAAAATAATAATTTTTTAATTTAAAAAAATTATATTAAAAATATTTTTTTTAAAAATAAACTATAATCAAACATCTTCAAAATAAACTCACTCTATTGATATCAATTATTACACATATATAATAAGAAAAATATAAATATATTTAAGAATAAAGTCCTGTAGACAAGAGAGGTGTTTGAAACTGTTTGTGATTGCTATATTTGTTAATATATATATATATATATATATATATATATATTAATTTAATATTTTTAATATATTTTTAAATAAAAAATTATTTTAAAAAATCCCGAACATATAGTCAAGGTTGGGCCTAGATTGTCTTTTAGCACAGCTTGGTCCTGCGAGTGCTGTATCAATCTGTCAGCCATGCTGGTGGGTTGACGGAGATGACTAGACTGGAGCGGTCAATGGAGTACTTGTTAAGGTAATTTACAGTACTGTTCAACACGCGTCCTTTTTTTAATAGATTAAACCAGTCCCTAATCATTTAATGTCCTGCAATTAACCCCCCAAATAAACCTAATCTAAATTCCATCCCTGCAGATTTTTTTATTAAACCCTCAGCTTCCCGTGTCACTTCCGACGTGATCCTTACCTTTAAAATTCCAATTTCTTGCAATTGAACTGCTTATTGTACCAATTGATCTTGTCAAAGTTTTTAAACTAATTTTTTTTTTCGAAAATATTTTTTATTTTTTAAAAAAAATTAGAGATCCAAAATTAAATTATAACAAATTTTTTAAGATAAAAAAAGATTGATGATAATTATTTAGAACCCCAATATTTTTTCTAAGCTAGAAACAATAAATTTAATCAAGTTTGATTTGATTTCAGGTTTTTGAATATTATTTCAAAGATTTTAAGTTAATAGATTGGTTTATAGGTATTTTAAAAGTGTTGTCAATAAATCATTTTAATTTTTTAGAATTTAGACTTGTAAACGACGTAAATTTATTTCTTAAAAAAAATAGCAAACAAGTTGTTTGTCTCTTTAAAAAATTAAAAAATTATAGAACCAAACTGAAGTATGGAGGCTTATACACCTAATTTTTATTTTTATTTTGCTCTTATTTATTTTTTAATATATATATATATATAAAAATATTATTTAATCTATTTGAGTCTATGACTTGGATCACGAATTTAATAAGTTAAATCACAACAGCCAAGCTATTATTTTTTGAAAATTTTATTTTTTAATGTTTTTTTTAAATAATTTTTAAATTTTTGTTTTAATTAATAAATTACTCATCAATTAATTGTTTGTTATTTTTTTTATTAAAATTTTTTTAATAGAGATTTTTTTAAGTTATTTTGAATGTGTTTAATTTTCAAAGTAATTTTTCTTATTCATCTATGATTTTTTTTTTATCTTTTGTATATGAATTTATTTTTAAAAATAAAAAATTATTTTCAGATAATATTTCTAATATATTGAACATTGCATATTTTTTTCTTTTATTGTATTCAAGTAATTTAATATTTATATCTATTTTTAGTATCGTTTGAATTTATAAAAAAATATTTTGATTAACAAGATTTAGCAAACACAATCACGTACTATCCAGTCTTGCATTAAATATTTTAATCTATACATATTTCTCGATTTTTCTGGTTTTATTTTTAGTTAGAGTTAATAATTTTTTTAATTTATTATCATATATAGTTTTTTATTTATTTGATCACACATGTATATAAATTTTTTTATTTACACTTAAAAAATCTTTTAATAATAAAAATATATATAAAAATCTATATATATAAATTTTTTTCTAATAAGATAAATATCTGACCTGTGACCGATCGCAGCTGATATAAATTAAAACTCAATAGATAAGTACAATTTCCGCTAATGCCAGGGGAAAGTTTTCCTAATTTTAATTTAGTCAAAACCTTGTCATTATTCATCAGCTAGGTCTAAAATTGTCTTTAGATCGGAAAATCTGTATAGTTAGGACAACAGATGATCAGGGAGATATGATTCATGTGAAGGTTCATAATTAGTTTAGTTTCTTTCTCCAGTATACCTTTTAACTGCAAATACCAATCCGCAATAGCTTTAAACCTACTTGCCATTCACCTCTTCAGCATCACCTGGAATCTTTCATAAAGGGGCATGAGTGGCATTGAGCTAGAAGACCATGGCAAGCCCATGAGGGCTTTAGTATTTTGTTGTTCAGTTGAAGGTGTTAGGTACAGCCCTGTCTGGACAAATTTACAGACTATTTATATGGATGCTATGAGTACAGAATTATTTCTCCTTGTGTCAGAATCTCCCTCACTTTAAAGCGTTTCTTTACTCTTCACGTAGAAATTTGAAGCTGCTGGGCTCAAAATCTGTTTTTGGCGGAGAAAGAACTAGAAAGTAGGTATTTTCTGCGTTGCTGCCTTCATCATTGCAGCCTAACTAGCGCAAGTGTTGAAGTTTATCTCTGAATAATAATGCAATGAGAAGGTTGCCAGTTCGTTCAATGTTTTGTTTTTGGTGTAAATTGTGGTTATGTGCATATTATACCTTTGCCTAAGATCTGAACATCAAGCAACTAAATCAGAACAGAGCTTGCTCTCTTGCAAAAAGCATTTAAATGCATATGTCTAAAGGTCAGATAACTGCTAGAAAAGAAATAATAAAAACCGGGCATAGCTTAGACATTTGATCTAATGTGGCACGAGATTGTCACTACAAAATTCTAACACATTCAACATATAAAGGAGTATTAGTCTGACTAAATAGAAAAACCCCAGAGTAGAAATTAGCACTATCTTAACATTCTCAACTACAATTAAGATTCTGAAGGAGCTAAGCGTTTCCACAGAAACAGGAGATACCATTGCTAAAGGGTTTACAGAAATAAAATGCAGGATGAAAACATCTCCATCTTTTAGTGATAGCAGATGCAGACGGACCGACAGCGACAGACTATCTATGTGGTGGAGCATGCTGTGACCTATCTCCGACCTGAAGAGCAAAAATTGTTAGTTAATATAACTTCCTTTCTGAAGCTACAGAGATTTTTCTGTAAAAGATTCCGAGTCCAGTTAATTGAAACAAGGCACAATCAAAACACAGCCACGAAAATTCTTCTATATATATAACAGCTTAAGTGTGATGCATTCTGGTTCTATGTGAGGTGTTGGTGGACTCAAAGTTCAACATGGTAATTCATGATAACTGTCCAACATGTGTGAAAGAAACATAATATTTCATGAAACCCTTAGCTGTAAAATTGTCGTTGGATATAAAATCTAGTTTCATTATTTCCAGTTGAATATGATTCAACTGGTGCTTTTTTTTAAACCTGATATGAATAATTAAGCTACAGAAGCTTTAAGAGAATCATAACTAACATAGTTGATGATCAGAGACAACTTCCATATTCAAATCTTTTGGAAAATAGAAACAGCTAACTTGACCTCAGAAGGTCATGCTCCACCATCTTGATATTCAGTTCAATAAGATTAATGCAGTCAACAATGAACACAGACATATACTAAAAAAAAAATCCTTAAAACAGAACAAAAAATGTGAAATGATCTTATTTTTTGGTGTCATTTACCTACCTTTGGATTTCCTTGCTTAAGATTTTAGCTTTTTCCTGGATCTTCCGCTCTTTATGATCATACAGCTAGGTGAATCAGAAGCAGGCTTGGAAAATGAATAGGACAATTCTGATTTTTGTTTTGGCAGTTTAGCCAATAATTCAAGATAATCTTCATCTTCCATGTCTTCCTCATGGTGTCCAAATTGGTTACTGCTTACTGAATCAATACTACCAGCTGGGTAGTCCATTTCCTTGTACATGGATACAGAGAACCTGGAATTTCCCTTGTATTCAAAAACTAGCAAATCTCCTTTCTTAAGAGAGTAAAAATCTGCAAAATCTTGCCAGCCTTTCTGAAACCTAACCATACCATCAGCAGACTTCAACAACTCTATTGTCCATAATGTCCCATTTGGATCCTCAAGTGTTGCTCTCTTTGACATAACATTTCCAATTTTTCTCAGGAACTTTCTTGGAATTCACTGACAATGAACATAAATAAACGATAAAATATTTCATATTGAACTTCATTTTGTGCTTGTACAGGAAAAAACATCTCAAAGAATACTTACAGGCTTGTTTTCAGGAATGTCATCATGGATTCGCTTGATGAAAAGGTATTCTCCGGGTTCAAACAACGAGCCATCCCTCTCTCTCTCTCTCTCTCTGTGCTAAACCCCATGTTTTAACAGCTCCAAAATGCAAAGTGATCAGGGCTTATGGTAAGTGGACAGAAGTAGTTGAATAGCTGAGGTCTTTGGGGGGTTCAAAAGATGAAGAGCAAGCAATCCTCTTCATTTTGAAGAAAACAAGGCATTGTCTTTTAGTTCACAATACTTGGTCTTGAGTTGCAGGACAGTAGCAAGTGGACATGGGAGTCTTTCCTCTTTCTCGTTAAGTTTCTCCTCTTTCACGTGTCTAAGAACTACTGCAATAAGTAGAAAAACTGCATTTCTGCAGGTTTTGCATAAAAGTACAACCTGTTAGGAGTACGATGCAAGTTAAAGTTGACAATTTGGCATGCCAAGATAGTACGTTCAATATTTATTGGTGAACTACTAATGCCCTTTACTGTCTCCTTTAATTTCCTGTTTGTGGGTTGGTAGAGATCAGTCCTGCTGTTCCTTCAGCAGAAAAAGAAATTGTCTTGCAGAGGGACAATACTTTAATAACTAGCATGTCTATGTCTGTATGCATGTATGTGCTCAGGTCATATGTTTCAGTACATGAAACAGTAAGGGCCTTGTTCAAATGTTTATGATTCGTCTACAATTGTGTGTAACCTTGCAGCAAATGTACATCTCTTTGAGTTACTATTTCGTCATGGCTGGAAACCGAGTAAATAGCAGTACAATTGCACTGGGATTTTCATCAGAAATTGTTGATATAGTAGGGTAAAATAGAAAGTCTAAAACCATCCAATCATCTTGATATCATTCCCTTGTCGTAAATGCTTGTGTGGCAAGCCCAAATGTGAGCTTTGGTTTTGATTCTCCATTTTGTTTACATAATAAATGTCTAAGATCGGTAATTAGAAAATAGGGTTTTGAGAAGGTAGATTGACTAGGAATTGAGCGATAATGCCATACATTCATGCCTTTTGCTCTATCTTTGCAACTCTCTTCTTGTTACAGCCACAGTTGATTCCTCATTTTCATCATGCTTGTATTGTAACCAATCTCGCATTATAGAATACCTGGTTTTTGGAAAGCCTGCTGGTTTTTCTATGCTGTGGTTAATGGGCAGCCTTTGCCTTGTATCCTCGTTTTATATATCACGTTGGCTCTTTTTTCCCCATGTTTTTAGCCATGGTTGCTTTCACTCTTAATAGTCTAGTCTACTCTATGCATATAACTCGGTTCCCAATACACATACAAGGCATGATTTCCTACCAGAACATATACAGGGTCTGCAACCTTGCCAGGAATCCTCATGCCACTCTTTATCTAAAATCTTATAGGACAGTTCAGTGAATGATTTGGTGAAAAATGTCCTTTACAGCTTAATGGATAATGATCGATGCCCTTCCGAGGGATTTTGTTTTTCTACTTACAAGTAACAAAGCTTATTTACATATGAACCGAGGATGAATCAAGCATTGAGTTTCTTTTTAAATAAATCCTTCGTCTAGTGGTTGATAATAGGTAAGACTAACTCAACAATTACCTTCTCTCATGGTGACATTTTAGGACTGGACTTGGTTTATGTTTTGTCATAACAGGATCGCTCTCTAACTAGGTGAACAACACATTTTGAAATGCTTCCTTAAAATGACGAGCATCAGAGTGGAGATGGAAGTAACCTGTCTCAAAGTTAAAAACAATCAGTCTACAGGTAGGCTAAAAAAAGAAGTAAAAAAAGAACAGAAAGGAATTGTGAGACGGCTAGAAGACCACTCAAGTTTTGCGCTGCTGTTACCCTTTCTTTACACCTTTCAGGTAGTCTGCTCTTATTCCCCACAACTGCTCAACTACTACTTTCATGTCCGGTCGTTCGGTGCGAATGGGTGCTGCACAATGGATTGCTAAGGCAAACATTTTGGATAGTATCTCTGCATCCACCACTTCTTCCATAAGCGGGTCCGCCATGTCCACTACATTTCCTTCCTCGTACTTCCTAAAGACCTGCATAAATTACCACATGAGATGAATGATCTGGTAAGTTCACAGATGATATTGTACAGAATGGTAGCTGCATTCAGGTTTTGAGAAATTCAACTAGCGAATTACACCAACAAGAACAAAATATTCAATTTGAGGGCATTTGTTTTGCATAAAATACTTTACATGAAAATGTTTTCTTATGTTTTGTTTCTCATAAAATATTTTAACAAAACTAATCAACCTCAAATATTTTACAATACTTAGTTTATTTGTTAAAAAATATTCATGAAGTTTTATAAATTATTTTACAAATAACAATCCCCACCCCAACCCATATCATCACTACTATCACAACCACCACCACATCATAACCATAACACGTTATCATTATTTAACTATATTTGTAATTTTCACATCATTACTTATTAAACATCATAAAAAAATTTCACATGACATTTTATGGGAAAACATTTTCATGCAAGAGATTTTCCATCCGTAAAATATTCTACACAAAACAAACGCCCCCTAAGCAGCAGTAATGCTCTAAGAAAAAGAGACAACATGCTGTTTTGAAAAATATACAAAGGTTTTCAAGGAAATACTCTGATGTGGTTAGATATACTATGTCCACAGCTATAAAAAGGGGTCTATCTTAAGAAACTCCCAGGCAGCAAACTAGAACTCTCAGTTCTGCTAGAACGTAGTCTGGGAGTTTAACTGATCTTTTGCGTTGGTATTGCTTGTTAACTAGCTATCCAATATAAACAAGAAGCAATTCATCTTGCAGGCTCAACACTCAATGTTAGCATAACAACCTTGTGAGGAACAACTCATAAACTACAGTTTAGAAATCCCCAGTGACAAAATAAAATTAGACAACCACATTATGTTCATTGATCGGCACAAAGGAAGCCAAAACAATAGAGATTAGACAGGCAAAGAATGGGGTCCAGCGTAACTCTCAATGAGAGCTATTGCTGAAGTTGGGCAGGACAAGGTCTTCTTGAAGCCTGATTTAACACTTCTAGTTGCTTTTGAAAAGCATGTACCAGAGGCTGGACCTGACTAAAATTGGCTTCTAGCCACACAAAATTTTGACCATCTCATTGACAGTGGTGGAGGTCGCTCCTATCATCATCCATGCTCATTTACCAAAGGCTCTTTTCTATGAGGAACATGATTTTTATCCTGGGTGTGGTAATTGTACATGTTCTGTCCTGACACACTTAATAAGTGCAATAGTAACCATAAAATAAACATTATCAATTTACAAGATGTAAAGCTTACCCATCTAAGTGTCACCCGCTCATCAGCAGGTTTCTTCATCTCCACAGGGCGCCGTCCTGTCAGGATTTCCAGAAGTAAAATCCCAAATGAGTACACATCACTCTTGGGGGTAAGTTGATAGGTCCTCATATATTCTGGGTCTAGGTAACCCACTGTCCCTTTCACTTTGGTTGAGATATGAGTTTGATCAGAGTCTACTGGACCCATCCTAGCAAATCCAAAGTCTGCCACTTTGGCTCTCATGCTCTCTGTCAAAAGAATGTTGGATGACTTCACGTCTCGATGAATTATTTGCTTCTCTGTTGTGAGATAAGCAACATAAAAGAAATTAATTAGATAACTATTATAAAATGAAGAGTACATGCAAAGAAATATCCAGACCCAAAAGAGCTCTCTGTGAGATCACAGGGTAGCAATGGGTGATATCAAGCACCAACTTTGAGAATTTAGATATTTTCCAGAGTCTTCTTGAAACTATAGCTTTCCAATATATGGTTCAGAGATTTATTTCCTCGTAATGAGATGAAAATTGGTGAGAAATGCAATTGTAAAAAACAAAAACTAGGATCTTGGGATAGGTTTTGAATCAGAAGAGGTGAGTGACCAAGAGCGTGATAATGAGCGGCAGCATTTTGTTATGATAAACTTCTTTTGTTGGAAACTTAGATTGACAGTTAGGTAATTCCATCTTCATTACTTTCCATCAATATTCCAGAGGAAGGGAGAGAATAAAGGACACTGGTCGCCCATGATATTAGAATGGATGAGATGAGCTTCTGGTGCCTTCTCTGACCTGGACATCTTCTCAAATTGAGGAAACAAAAAAATAAGAGAATATACTGGGTTTTATGTGTCTGGTACCAGAGGTGGGAGTGTCTAGTTAAGGAAACAAAATGAATGAAGTTTTTTATGCTAAATACTTGCAAACAAATTCTAATCATCTAAAATTATTTGGAGGCTTATGAAGCTTTGAACATATAGCTTGTTCAATCTAATCAATTCTCCTAAAAATATTATTGCCACCAGTACGTGTCCAAAACCCTACCATATACAGTAATATATTTTAAGTGCTCTTCTTTGCTTTCTTGGAAGGTCATAATTCAAGTTGAATTGGCATTTCAATGCATGAAATTTCTCAGAAATAATGTAACGAACTGACAGATTTCTAACCTGCATATAGATGGAGATAAGTTAATCCATGAGCAACATCAATGGATATTTCAAGCCGCTGGTTGAAATCCAGGATTTTGCCATGCAGAACTGCAGGGAATTGCAGATCTATTAGAATAAAGGTTGTTGTTGGTTGGAACTTTACCTCTCTTATATTGCATATGCTTACCATCCAGATGTTCTCTGAGAGTACCATTGGGCACATACTCTGTAATAATAAGGCGTTCATCTTCATTACGAACATAACCAAGCAACTTCACCAGATTCCGATGATCAATTTTGGCCAGAAGTTCAACTTCACTGCTGAATTCAGTTTGTAAGTTCACAAAGTATTCCTGCATAATGTTTTCACATCAATCAACGGTAGGAAAATGTGAAACAAT